GATATACCTGGGTTTCCAACACCTCACTCTCCACCCTGGACCCCCCCCTTCTCAGAGTAGTGTTTTCATAGCCTGCTGAGCAGCTCACAGGGTCTGGAGAAAAAGTCAATAAATTAAAGGAAGTTGAAAACCAACTCTTAACACCTTCACAAGCTAAGTGGATGACTAGGACTTGAAGCAGTTCAGCAGAAATAGGGCTCAGTGTTCACCTTGGCAAGGCAGACATGATACGAGCTTGTCCTACTTTCTGAAGGCCCCCAAAATCATCTTCCTATTCACCCAGCTTTTTGTTGAATTTTGAATGTATAGATCTATTCTAGTTTTTTTTTTCTCATTCAGTCATTTGCAAATTTTTTTTTACAATTGTTTTTTTTTTTATGATTTTATTTATTTGACAGAGAGAGACACAGCGAGAGAGGGAACACAAGCAGGGGGAGTGGGAGAGGGAGAAGCAGGCTTCCTGCAGAGCAGGGAGCCCCATGTGGGACTCGATCCCAGGACCCCGGGATCATGACCTGAGCTGAAGGCAGACGCTTAACGACTGAGCCACCCAGGCGCCCCTCTCATTCAGTCATTTGAATTTAAGAAATGATTTGGCTGAGGCTCCTGGGTGGCTCAGTCGGTTAGGCATCCAACTCTTGGTTTCGGCTCAGGTCATGCTCTCAGGGTAATAGGATTGAGCCAGTGTCCGGCTCCATGCTCAGCAGGGAGTCTGCTTGGGATTCTCCCTGATCGCTCACGCTCACATGCTCTCTCTCTCTCCCTCAAATAAATAAATCTTAAAAAAAAAGAAAGAATTTGGCTGGAGGGGAGGTGGGCAAGGGGTGGGGTAAATGGGTGATGGGCATTGAAGAAGGCACTTGTGATGAGCACTGGGTATTATATGTAATTGATGAATCACTAAATTCTACACCTGAAACCAATATTGTACTATATGTTAGCTAACTAGAATTTAAGTAAAAGCTTAAAAAAAAGAAATAATTTGCATTGTAATAATTCAGGTAATTCAGAAATAGCCCAAAGTAGAATTGTCTCCTGACTCCCATCTTCTTTAGCTTCTTGCTCTTTGTTACAATTTACAAATAACTACTTGGCGCCTGTCCTTCCACACCTGTTTTGGTGCTCATGCAAATATATTTTATACACAAAAGTGCACACACACATACATTATACACATGTTATATGTATGTGCTGTTATATATAAAAGAGATCACCACTTTATTCTGTAACTTGCATTCTTCACTTAAAAATAGATGAATGATTGGGGTGCCTGGGTGGCTCAGTCATTGGGCGTCTGCCTTCGGCTTGGGTCATGGTCCTGGAGTCCTGGGATCGAGCCCCGCATCGGGCTCCCTGCTCCGCGGGAAGCCTGCTTCTCCCTCTCCCACTCCCCGTGCTTGTGTTCCTGCTCTCGCTGTCTCTCTCTCTCTGTCAAATAAATAAATAAAATCTTAAAAAAAAAAATAGATGAATGAATATCCTTCCAAATCTGTACTTTAATCTTATTCTCTTCATTGCACATAATTTTGTGGTATCACTGTGCCATAATTTAAGGCAACACTTCTCCCTATTGGGAAATTTTCAGGCTGTTTCCAGTATTCTGCTAATAAAAAAATACTTTGCTATGGGGAAATTTCTTTGATACGAATCTTTATGCATTCCTGTCAGATAAAGCCCAGGGTGTGCACATTTAAAAATGTTTAAACACTGCTATTTTATTTTTTATTTTAGTCCTTTAACAGTCTTATCAGTAGATCATTACTGCTGAGATGTATTTATATACTTCTTATAATTAAAGCCCTTTGCTAGATCTGTGCTTTCCTGCTAGACCATCTCAAGTTGATTACATTTACGATTTTATTTGGGAAAAAAACTCTTTGAACCTTTGGCTTAGCTTTACTGATTATATTCACGTAATTGGGTTTTACCTCCATGCAGTTAGTCAGTTAGAACTAAAAGGTCATTTGGGGAAATTTGACTCAGACAGTCTCCGTACAGTATCAAATCAAACCTTCCAATAAAACATGAATTTATTTCTAGAATGGTCTCCGTCCATTAAAGCTGGCAGACATTTAAGAAGTTGTTCAGTGGCTACTTGATTGTTATGAACTGAAATTATGAAGTTCAGTAGCTGAGCTTGGTGGAGAGATTGCAAATTCTAAACATCTGGTAAATGTATAAGATATGACACAATTATTGTTGCCAGAAATCTCAATGCTAATTCTCTCCTGGTGATTTCTGTGCAGCTTGTTTATTTAATCGGAAAAGAACTAATAAGAGAAACAGACTCACAGAGGTCAGTTTACAAAACAAGAAATACAGTTTGCAAAAATATTGGTGGAAAATACCATTTAGCCTTCTTATTCAAATTGCAAACACACTGATGATGTTGGCCACAATTTGATGGACTAACCATTCTCATACACCCTGGTAGGGCAACTTAGTTATACATATCAGAGTCCCTAAAAATATGTTTTGATGGTGTAATTCTCCTGGAAATTTATAAGAGTAAAAACTTTGAAAACGGCCTAATCAAAAAGTAGAGTAAAAGTTAAATTATGTGAAACTATAAATTAATCCAGTAAAAATCATTTTATGTAGAGAATATTTAGAATATTTAATGGCACGGGAAACTAGGCACTGTAATAAGTAGGAAAAAACAGGCTTCAAAATTACAGTAGTATTTCCCAGAATACTTCTTATGAGATGTGAGATCCTCCATGGCCTCCAAATGAGCTTGAGAAATGCTTAGCTAATCAGAATTAAATTAAGCTGAAGTACTGCAGGGCTGGGCTTCTTGGAGATTCATAGAACATAAGATGACTTGTATTTTCCAAATTTCTTTGACCTTGAAACTTTCTAAGGAATACCTATTAGCATCCTTCAAAACACTCGTGTTCCACAGAACATAGTATAGGAAGTGCTAATATGGAGTTGAATCTCATTTTTTATTTTTAAAAATGTGTGTCTCTTGGGGCGCCTGGGTGGCTCAGTCGTTAAGCGTCTGCCTTTGGCTCAGGTCACGATCCCAGGATCCTGGGATCGAGCCCCGCATCGGGCTCCCTGCTCCGCTGGAAGCCTGCTTCTCCCTCTCCCACTCCCCCTGCTTGTGTTCCCTCTCTCGCTGTGTCTTTCTCTGTCAAATAAATAAATCTTTAAAAAATAAATTAATTAAATAAATAAAAAATAAAAATGTGTGTGTCTGATGTGTATACATGTGTACTTATGTTTATTTGTATACATGTATGCATAGAAAACTAGAGAAAACCTATGAAAAGGGTCATCTTGGGGGTTGTGAAATTACTGGTAATTTTTTTTCTTTATACCAGTCTGAATTGCCCAGATTTTCTGGGGGAAGAAAAGAACACTTTCAATATTGAAGAAAAGTTGTGTTGTTTTTAAACTTTCATAAAGTTAATTAAAAAAAAAAACACTGGTGAGGGGTGTCTGGGTGGTCAGTTGGTCGAGCACCCAACTCTTGGTTTCAGCTCAGGTCATGATCTCAGGGTCGTGAGATGTAGCCCCAAGTCAGTCGGGCTCCCTACTCAGCAGGGAGTCTGCTTCTCTCTCTTCCTCTGCCCCTCCCCCCCCCACTCGTGTGCTCTCTCTCAAATAAATAGATAAAATCTTAGGAAAAGAAAAAAAGAAAACTCAAGGGCAGGAGGAAACTGGGAAGGAACGGATGTGTCTGTGGCCATTGTGGTGGTGGTGGTTTTACTGGTGTGTACTTATCCCCAGACTCAGCAAGTTGTATACATGAAATATACACCACTTCTTACATGACAATCATACCTCCATAGTGTGGTTTCAAAGAAAAAGAAAAAAAAAAACAGAGTCAGATGTGAATTCAGCCTCTCGTTTGTGATTGTGAGCAAGATATTTAATCTCTGCTTCTTGCTTGTAAAATAAGAGTCCTCTTAGTCTCTCCCACAGAGCTGTTGTCAGAATCGTATTGGGGAAACGACACAAATGTATCCAGTAGGTGCTTACAGATGTACAAAGATGGCTTTAATTGCATTTTTTGCTAGTTATTAAGTGCACAGGGACATACCCCTTTAAATGAAGTTTACCCTTTTTACTGTGGAAACAGACTTCTTAATGATGAACGAAATGCTCTTGTTCTTTAGTTAAGAACAGGATTCTCTCCATTGAACTGGAGGGAAATGTTTCTAGACTAATATAAATGGTTTCCACGTAACCTTGAGTCAGGATCCTTTCCTTTCTCTACTTCTTCTAGCATTTGTCAAATAACTGTCATAAGGACGAGGTTTTACTTACCATGATCCATTATCTGGTGACTCAGACCCCTTCCTATGACTTCCTTTTCCCCAAAGATCCTCACGTTAAAAAAGAAAGAAAGAAAAAAGTGAATGTTGTCAGTTTCTCATGGGAGTGTAAAATTTCTTCTTAGGAAGAGTTTTCTTTTTTTTTTTTTAATATTTTATTTATTTATTTGAGAGAGCGAGAATGAGAGAGAGAGAGAGCACATGAGAGGGTGGAGGGTCAGAGGGAGAAGCAGACTCCCTGCTGAGCAGGGAGCCCGATGCGGGACTCGATCCCGGGACTCCAGGATCATGACCTGAGCCGAAGGCAGTCGCTTAACCAACGGAGCCACCCAGGCACCCCGGGAAGAGTTTTCTTTTAAAATATAGCACCTAGGGGTGCCTGGGTCGCTCAGTTTGTTGAACATCTGACTCTTGATTTTGGCTCCGGTCAAGATCTCAGGGTGGTGAGATCAAGTCCCACATCGGGCTCTGCACTGGGTGGGGAGTCTGCTTGAGATTCTCTCTCCTTCTCCCTCTTCCCCTCCCCACTCACACATGCTCTCTCTCTCTCAAAAAATAAATAAAATACAGCACCTAATCACTTTTAAATGTTAAGATCTAGTGCCAGGAGTGGTAGACTTTATTGTAAAGTATGTTTCCACACTCCCTCCATAGCTGTTTTTTGCAGTGTCGATTTTTGGGGTTTTTTTCCTCACTTCTGTATTTGTTATATAGCAACTCTACAGAAAGAAGCCCGGTCTGGCCATAACGTTTGCAAAGCTGCCTCAAAATTTGGACAAAAACCGATACAAAGATGTGCTGCCTTGTGAGTATCCGGTGTGGATGCCTCCCTCCCCTTCCCGCCCTCCCCCAACACGCTGAGATAATGTTTCCCTTTTTAAAACAGATTGTCTGGTATTCTGGAACGATTTTCAGTGTGTCTGTAAACACCACCGTCTTTATTGCCGCCATGTCAGACTCAGAACAGTTGGGGAATAGTGTTTATGCTAATGAGGCGAGAGCTGCAGATGGGGTTGGGGACTGAACTCTTGTTTCCTTGGCATGATAAAAATAACGCCTGGGATAATCGGTAAATTGTTTTTCTCCCCCACAGACGACACCACCCGGGTCTTATTGCAGGGAAATGAAGATTATATTAATGCGAGTTATGTGAACGTAAGTCAAGAATCTGGATACTAAGAGCACGTTGATCACTGTCCCAAGCATGATCGTGGCATGGGTGGTGCTTTGCGGTGGACGAAGTGCTTCCCTGTTCGCCCCCTCATTTCAGCACCTCAGCAGCCCCTGAGGGAAGGCACAATAGTCTCATTTTACAGAGGACAAAACTAAGGTTCAGAGAGATTAAATAATTTGAAAAGTCACAAAGCTAACAGAAGGTGAGACCAAAACTCAGACTCCGTGTCTCTGACTCCCATCGTCCACATGCCTTCTGTCCTCAACTGCTGACATTTTTGTGGGGTTTTTTGTTTTTTGGCTGTTTTGGGTTGTTTGTTTGTTTGTTTTTGCCAGTGGTATGCTTGTAACTTTGTGTCCCCTCCCCCCATGTTATTACTGTACATCCCACCTAAAAATAAGGGGAAGAAAACCACTTGTGCATATAACCCAAAAAGAAAAGGTAAAAAGATGTCACATGTTGTGAGAAAGGCATTCATTTCACTCTGCAAATGCATGTTGGACAACTTACTTGGCCTCTCTGAACCTCATTTTCTTCATTTAAACCAGGGGTCAGCAGGCTTTTTCTGTAGAGGGCCAGGTGATAAACATTTTGGTCTTTGCAAGCTGAGGCAAAATAGAGGATATTACTTAGGTATTTACACAACCATTTAAAATGCAACCATGTAAAAATATTTTTTAAAACACTCTTAGCTTGCAGGTTACCTGGATGGCTCAGTCAGTTAAGCATCTGACTCTTGATTACAGGTCAGGTCATGATGCTCAGGGTCATGAGATTGAGCCGAGTTTGGCTCCGCACTCCAAGTGGGGTCTGCTTGAGATTCTCTCACCCTCTCCCTCTGTTCCCAACCCCTGTTTACTCTCTCTAAACAAACAAACAAATTCTTTTTTAAAAAACCTTGGGGTACCTGGGTGGCTCAGTCAGTTGAGCATCTGCCTTCAGCTGAAGTCATGATCCCAGGGTCCTGGGATCAAGCCTGGCATTGGGCTCCCTGCTCAGCGGGGAACCTGCTTCTCCCCCTCCCTCTGCAACTTCCCCTACTTGTGCTCTCTCTCTCACTCTCTCTCTCTCTCAAATAAATAAATAAAATCTATAAAAAAAGAAATCTCAAAAAAAAAAAAAAACCAAAACACTCTTAGCTTGCAAAGTGGCTGTCAGATTTGGCCCTCAGGCCACAGTTTGCCAACCCCTGATCTAAATGAACAGATGATTTCTCAAGTTCTCAAGTTATAGCAAAATATCAAGAACTACCTAATAAAAATGGGCCCTATCAGTGATTCCATTTATTCTAAAACATCTGTGGAATTCGTTGACTCTCACTTCACCATTCCTGGTGTCTTGAGAGCAGAGCATCAGAATTGGTGGGGTCAGCAAGGTCATGCAGTCCGGTCTCCTTGACCGTGAGGATATGAGGGAACTAAGACCAGGGCTGAAGAAGCCATTAACCCCAGCATCAACCAAATCATGAATTAGGCACCTCTCTTGGCCTTCTGCATCTAAGATGAGTGAATCCTAGTGTCGCTTCAAAGCTCAACGGGTTCTGAATGTTTTTCATAGAAATGACTCCGTTCAGAGGGAAGAAATGCAAGCAGAGCAGGATGGGGGAGGGACACTGAGGACAGTTGAAAACATTTTGATGTTTAACATTAATGAACTCAAGTGGTCACTGGGTGAGGTGATGGATGTGTTCATGAACTTGATTGTGGTGATCATTTCACAATATATGCGTATATCACACCATCCTGTTGTACACCTTAAATACATGCAATTTTTATTTGTTGATTACATGTCAGTAAGGCTGGGTGGGGGGAAGGATTGGTCAACTCAAGGACACGAGCACTGGCAGCCGTGCAGAAAGCAGGGCATAGCATTTGTGGGGGTATACGCCTGTATGGTCTGTGCGTCAGAGAAAAGTCAATGGATTTTGATAGAAAACCCTGTGTGGGGAAAGATTTGGGTATGAGGACTGGTATGTATTGCTGAAAATACAGATGGCCAATATCGATTATATTTAGGATATAGCAGTAAAGGTCACTGAAACTCTACTGCCGTCTTGTAGGCACGTTTCTGATTATCGCCTGCTGCGTGTCGTACAGCTTTACCTTAAGTAGTTAATGCTAACGTCATCATCAGGCATCTTTCAAGGATTTTTTAAAATAGCTTTTTCTTTGATTTTCCTTGTTGGCTATAAATTGATGGGGTATTCTGGTGTGATGTCAGGCACCAACTAGAAGAGTTTAAGATCCAGTTCCGGATCAAGGTAGGACAAGGTAGACAAGTCTACCTTGTCGCAGTGACAGGTACTAATGCCTGAACAATCTCTTGCCAGATGGAAATTCCTGCTGCTAACCTTGTGAACAAGTACATTGCTGCTCAGGGTCCCCTGCCACACACCTGTGCACAATTTTGGCAAGTCGTCTGGGATCAGAAGTTATCACTCATTGTCATGTTGACGACTCTCACAGAGAGAGGGCGGGTAAGTGGCTTGATTTCCAATTCAAACGTGGGCATGTCACACACTGCCCTGTGGAACATGAATCTCAGACCTGGATGTCTGGTCCAGCCCCTATGTGACCCATAAGTCTCCTTTAGAGAGCTACTACTGATAGACACCTTGAGTGAGGGGCAGCTCAGCACTCCTGCCCACTCCCTGGCTTTCCCCGAGCTAACGAGTGATCAGACAGCCCTTCCTGCTCCTGTCTCAGATCCATTATAACAAGCCAGAAGGCTGTTCCCCTTGTCTCACTTCACCTGCCCCAGAACCCCCGTGTTGACTGTAGCCTCCGCCACCCAGGACAAGCGCTATCCTGAGGAGAGCAGTGTGGGTGCCACAGTGGCCATAAAAACTAGGAGAAATTACAGCCTCTGTCAGCCTTCACTTGTGATGCAGCAAAATCTGATGCAAAAAGAGGAAGAAGGGCTTGATTAGGAGAGTGATGGGCACCACACTGTGCTTAGCGGGGCATGCATTTTCCAGAGGAGCAGATCACTGGTTATGGAACAGAAGTCACTGTGCAAGGGGTACCTGTATTGTGCATTCTCTTAACTTGTGCATACAGCAAGATATCTTCATTAGGAAACATTTATTCAGAAACCCATCCAAAATCCGATATAAATTAACTTTGAGCCACCTGCTTTGAATGATTCGTGTGCTGCTTCCTCCCAGGCCTCCCTCCTTGGTACATTGCTCAGAATACCAAATTGATCCATGCCAAAAATCAGAATATGCAGATTAGAATGAATAGTATGTTTGAGAACAGTCTACACTGTCACCTGCAACAGCAAAATAAGAATTCCTAACTAATTCTGCAGAGCCCCGTGGATTGCAAAGGACTTCTGTGTGTTGTCCGAGGCAGAGGGCTCCCCACTTCTGCAAAAACACCTCCAGGGCTCATCCTATGGGTGTTCGGCTCCAATTTAAAATATATGTATATTCCTCCTTACAACTAGCTGAAATCTACATGGCTTTGAACCTCCACCCCTCCTGCTTCTCCCATCTGGAAGACTCAGAGGAAGTTACCCCTCTCTTCTAGGCACTGGCCTTTTACGTATCTGAAAATAACCTTAGACTTTGTCAAAGGTTATAAGCTCGGCTTCCATTGATCCTGTGACCAGCAGAAAGTGTGCAGTCTCTGTCTTGGTGTTGCTCTCGGGCCAGTTGCCCCGTTTTGTACTCTGCCCTTGACTCTTGAAAGCTGCATAGAGAATGCTGCTGGGGCTCTGGAGACAGACGACCCGGTTCACAACCTCATTCCCCCTGAGCAAGTCACTTCACCTCTCTGGCCCTCAGCTTCCCCGTGTGTGAGGTGCGGGTGCTAACAGTGCCCATCTCGGACGGTTTGTAAAGACGGAGACGGTATATGCAAAAAGCTTAGAGAATCACATGTGGCAAGAGTCCAGCGTATGTTAGTGTTGTTTTGTGTGTCATCATCACTGGTTGGATTCGGCCATCGGATCTGGCCTGTCACGTGTTCTCTGGGGCTTTTGGGGCTTTCTTTCTGTTGTTCTTTGTGTCGGCTGTCACTCTCAGCTTCTTGTCACTGACAGTTTTGATCAGAATCCCTTGTCTTTGCGTAAGTCACTGTTAAGAAAACGTGAAGGTTCCTCAAGAGGCAGTAGAAACCTCCTTCTAGAATGCTGTGAGTCAGAGACATCGAGGGCACCCTTTGGGGAGCAACTGTAATTCTCCCAGCTCTCCTCCCAGCCCCTGCATTTCTCCACCTTGTCTTACCCCGTTACTCTGAGAGACTGTCGAAGGCTTTCCTGAAATCACAAAGCATCACCTGATCTTGTCCAGAAGTCTCAGTTTTGTCTATTTTTTTAAATTTTTGTTTTATATTTTGTGATTTTCTGATTTCATTTTGAATAGGAAATGAAGAGACTTGGACCTGTTTTTGAACTTAGGAAACCCTGGCTGACTCACAGTCCTGCCCTCTCTCTTTCTGAAGCACTCACAGCCCTCTTGCTCTGTGCTGTGGTGGGCAAGAAGGCAGACTCAGATTCAGATCCCGGCTCTATCATTTCCTACCTGTGTGACTTAAGAAAACTACAAAACCTCTGGGAAAAATGGAATAATAATAGCGCCTATCTTGTGGGAATGTTAGGGGTTAATACAGGTAGGTTTCTCGGAAGGGTGCTTGGCACACAATAAATATTACGTAAATGTCAGCTAGCAGAGGTAGCACTTTGGGGACCACCTTAACAGGTATTGCTGGGACTAGACTGTATTTATTTTACTATAGTATTATTTTTTCTTTAAATTGACTTACCTTTTTTTTGTTTTAATACATTTATTTTGAAAGATATACCTTAAGTGGAAGCCAAATACCACATGCCATAAGGAGAAGGTATGCATAAAAATACGAAGACCCCAGGGGCGCCTGGGTGGCTCAGTCAGTTAAACATCTGACTCTTGATCTCAGCTCAGGTCTTGATCCCAGGGTTGTGAGTTCAAGCCCTGTGTTGGGTTTCACTCTGGGAGTGGACCCTACTTAAAAAAAAAGAGAGAGAGAAAGAGAGAGAGAGAACAGTGTTATTAAATTCTAACTAAGTACTCATGCCTTGCCTTGCGGGCTCTGAACCCAAAGCCTGGCCCATATGAATGTGTGCACACACACTCTCTTTCTTCGTCTCTCATAAAAAGGGAGTTAATGTATTAGGGAAGTGATGTTAAAGCCACCCTCAAGACAATCCTTGGCACATACGAAGAAATTTGCTTGGGGCACCTGGGTGGCTCAGCCGGTTAAGTATCCAACTCTTGGTTTAGGCTCAGGTCATGATCTCAGGAAGCCCCGCATCAAGCTCTGCAGTGAGTGTGGAGCCTGTTTAAGATTCTCTCTCCCTCTCCCACTGCCCTTCCCCCCCCACTCGAGCGTACTCTCTCTCTAGAACTAAATAAATAAATCTTTAGAAAAAAAAAAGTTTGCTTTCCCACCACGCATGCAGGTCTGTGTTATTGAATCCCCCGATTGTACCAGCAGCTCCCACACTCTACAGGCCCTGCTCTGGACCATTTCTGCTATTTTGTAGGTGACTAACGTCACCTTTGTCACCTTCTCATTTCCACAGCCTACGAGGCTCCCCATTTGAAACCTGTGCTCTGCTTGCCTCTGTTGTTCTGTGACTTCTGGGTGCCTGGAAGTCCTCTCAGAGTATTCATGGAGGTGCCACTCTCCCGTGTCACGGGGTCTCTCGGCGCAGCGGGATACAGTGTCCTCCCCTGGGTTGGGCTTCTCTTTCCCCTGTCAAGTTGGCTCTGCCCTTTCCAGCTCTGAGGTCATTCACGAGCTGCCGCGGCTGTGGTGGGTGCCAGACGATCCGCCCTGCAGAGCAGCCCCTCTTCCCTGGTTCTGTTTGTTCCAGCCCGGACAGAAAGGCTCTTTCTTTCATCCCACAGGCCCTGCTTCTTCCACCTGCTTTTACGGGTCCTCCCCCTCCTGCTCTGTCCTGAGGACATCCCACCTCCCCGCCTTTTGTTGGCATCTGCTCTGAACCTGAGCTCCTCTGAGGTCTCCCTGTGACCCAGGGGCTTTCTTTGGTTCCCAGCCCGTGAGCCCATCCCAGCCGGCCCCTTCTCCTGAGTCAGTATTGCCTTTGCTGTCTCGGACCCTGGGGACTTACTCCCACTGTGTATCAGTTGTTAGAAACCTATTCTTCTAAAAATCCAGGCTACATGTTTCCTCCCTCTCCCATTACGAACTCTCAGCTGACCCGAGCCCTTTATCCTGAGGTCCCTTATCTGCTCCTCACCACCACCCACGGGTTCTCTCCAGGCCAGCAGCTTCGCCCCTTCCTTGTTCTGAGAGTTGAGGTTTTCAGCATGCCCCATTTCCTTTTTCCCCTACCGTGCATTTAGTAGAGTGGGCCTCCCCGCGGACGTGTGGCTGGCCAGAGTCCCTGATCACGGCTGTGCCCAGCAGGTGCGTCCACGAGTGGGGTCTCCTCCAGCATGTGAGGTGCTCCCACTGCAGCATCGCCTTAATTTCTGCCTTGTTTCATTCCCACCCAAAATGTTTTTCGTGATAGTCTCCCTTCAGGTTCACAGGTTTCCTCATAGAGAAAAAAGACCTATGGAGGTATCGCTTTTCTATTGAAAAAACATTCTCCCGCACCTTCCATCAGGGTTGCTTCCTCTGGGTGAAAAATTATTTTTTACATCTATGTATGCACCGTTTCTGATATGTATAATCTGCAGTAGATTCACACTCAGAGCCTCAGTTTACTCAAATGCAAAATAGAGACACTAATAATACCTACCTCATAGGGTTTTTTGAGGCCAAGCTAATGTCCATAAAAAGTACCATTTAGTGCTGGGCATACCCTGATCAATAGATAGTAGGTTTAAGTTGTTAGCATCCTCACCCCCCACAGCCAGCATTAATGTGGAAACAGAGACTCGAAGTCTAGTAATTTGCCCAGGATCACACAGTTGGTTAGTGGAGCTTATTAACCAGGATTGAAACTTGGGGTTTCCACAGACTCCTTGCTCTTTCTACTACACCCTCAGTGCTTTGAGATCCAAATAGACTTAAAACCTAAATTTGATCAAGGGGTAGAGAGTCCAGTTCTGGTCAGATTCACTGGGAGTCTCTGGAAATAGGTATTTGTGGCTCTGCCTTGTATGGGCTGATCACCTCAGAGACCCTTCGCATCAGCGGTCCTGTGGGCAGGACCCTTGGGAGTCTATGGCAGAGAGCCCTCTGGGGAGCTGCCCAGGTGTGATCTGAAGCCGGCCCCCATATGCAGAGGGCAGGGGGAGACTGAAGGAAGAGGCGGGCCACTCCAGCTTGGTAGGTGACGGTTTTAATAAGCGAAGGGAACTTACAAGGCTTGTCTTGGGTAGCAGCGAGACAAATGGATCCCCGCACCTTCCCGTCAAATCTTTAAAGTTTATAAAGAGGCCCTACCTGGGCTCGGTTACGTCTATGGTATAGGTGTTTCCAGCACCACATTACTGTCTTAAGGCTGTGTCCTCACAGCAACCTCTGGGAGCAGGAAAGGCAAGCAGAACCCACATTCTAAGGACAGGGTGCAGGGGAGGCCCCTCTGAGTGCCCAGGTCCCGCTCACGGGCCAGTGTGGGGTCACGTCATTTTGTTGATGTTCCCTAGCACCCTGTGAGAATGAGGCAGATGTAGACCAGTGGGTGTCGACTCTGCCTTGGGTTCTGGGGACAGCAGCCCTTTCACATCTAAGGGAAATTGGGAAATGGCCACTAGCCCACACACCCATATGTAAGGTTGACAAGTAAATTCTTAACTCCAACTTTCCGTCCGCATACTTTAATTTCGAATATTCCCTCTGCCGTTTGAAAATAAGAATAGAAAAGCTGTTCTAGACAAATCACGTGCATCTGTTGGTTTATAGCCCCTTTTAGCTGTACACAAATATAATTTTTATGTAAGATGTTGCAACTATAAGCTTGGAGGAAAAAAAAATTGAATGAGTCAGAATTTGATGGCACTGTGTTGGGATGGACAGCTTGGCCCTGAGTTTTGCTTTGAAGCCGGAGGCAAGAACTAAGACAGCTGTGGCCCAAGCTTCAGGATTTGGAAGGGAGGATAAAAAACAGGAAGAGGCGGTGGGCTCTCCGTGAGCCTGCGGGGAAGCCTGAGCCTGCGGGGGAAGCTGCAGCAGCCCTATGACCTTGGGCAGGTCACTTAAGCCCTCTGATGCCGGGGCTCCCCATCTGCCTTCTGGGGAGGGTGTCAGCTCCGCGAGTCACGGACAAAAGCCTCTGAGGGCCAAGGGGACTCTGATTGAATGTAAAGGGATGTTTGTCTCTGTTTGGGGACTTCTTTCACTGGGAATTCTATGGGATTTCTGATCACCCTTACTGAAGTTGATGGGGAGGCTCATAGCAACAATGGTAACCTGGCCCCCCACAGTGAGCCTGGCACTGCTCACCATTACCCGCAGCCTCTGTCACCATCTCGGAAGCAGGTGTTGTCCCCATCTATCCAGTGAAGACCATGAAAATCCAAGAAGTTGAGAGGCAGGTTCCAAGTCATAAGGCTAGCAGGTAGAGGAGAAAGTGAGTCCGGTGGAGTTGTGACTTCCCACTGTGCGCTCGTAACCTCTGGGCCTTGAGGCCTTCTACTCGAGTGGGTAGGGGATGGATGGTGAAGGAGGGTGAGGTGGACAGGGGTGTGGAGAGCAGAGAAGGGACCTGAGCGCCAGGAGTGGGCTTGATGGGGGATGGAGGACGGATGAGGAGGAGAGGTCGCTCCTATGTCAAGGCACCGTGTCTGAGGCCTCTCCTGTTCTTCCAGCAAGCAGACCCTGGTGATAAGGAGGATGAGCTCTGTACTCATCCTCCGGGCTGCAGCCCCAGGCCGGTTGGAGAGCTGTGGCCTGGCCCCTGGCAGGCCCACCGCGACCCTACTCTCTAGGAGAGGAGGGGAGCCTCCTCTGCCGCCCTCAGGGAACAGACAAAGAACAGATGGGCTTTGCCTGAGTCTCCCTTCCACCAGCAGCTCTCAGAGTACCTGGTGTGTGAGTGTGAGGGCGCTGACCACATGCCCCACCTGTCCATCCAGGTGACTGCTCATGTGCGCCGCCCCACAGTGGAGATTAGCTCACACCCGGTGGTTCCCTTGCAGACCAAATGTCACCAGTACTGGCCCGATCCTCCTGATGTCATGGAACACGGCAACTTTCACATCCGATGTCAGTCAGAGGACTGCACCATCGCTTATGTGTTCCGAGAAATGCTAGTCACCAACGCGGAGGTAAGCCGCGCCCCTGCAGGGAGAGGCCGGGGAGGGAGGGCACAGCTTAGAGGCAGGTGCTCAAGCAGCATCCACCGTGGTCCTGGATAGGGCAGTGCTTCCAGATCTGTTCTACATTTTCACCTGGTGAGCATTTCAGCAAATGTACAAGCCGACTTGTGAAAGAACCAGCACCCTCATTCCCAGCACCGCTGCTCACAGTCCGCAGGTGGGAACATCCAAGTGTCCATTGACAGATAAATGGAGAAACAAGATGTGGTCTGTTTATACGGTGGGGTACTATTCAGCCTTGCTAAGGAAGGAAATTCTGATGGATGTTGTAGCAAGGATGAACTTGGAAGATGTTCTACTAGGTCAGACCAGCCAGTCACGAGAGGAAAGTATTGTACGATTGTATGGAGTACGTGGCGTAGTCAGAATCTGAGACAGAAAGTGGAAGGATGGTTGGCTGGGCAGAGCGGGTTGAAGAGTCAGTGCTTCGTGGCTACAGAGTTTCCGCTTGGGAAGATGAAAAACTTCTGGAAATAGCTAGCCGTGATGGTTGCACCACTCCGGGAATGTAGTTAATGCCACTGAACTATACACTTAATGCTTAAAATAGTAAACTTCATGTTACGTGTATTTTGCCCCCCTGAAAAAAGAAAAAGCCAGTGTGTGTGGCCCTAATGGCAAGTGCCATCGGAGCAAAAGGGAAGGAGTCGCAGTGGGCAGAAGTGGGGAAGGAAGCCGTCCTGAGGGAGGCTGGAGGGGTGGCCTGAGCCGTGTCCTGGAGGATGGGTGCATGGGAGTGGATGGATTCGTGGAGGGTGAGCATGGGTTTCCAAGGGCCTCGGCAGGGCTGTGCGCAGCGGGTGGAAGGGCAGCCGGAGACAGGACCACCATAGCTGAGGCCGGGGTCCCCCCACCCACCCACCTTTTGGATGGGCTCACCAAGGCCACCCTGCATCTTCTACAGACTGGGGAAGAGCACACTGTGACGCATCTCCAGTACGTCGCATGGCCCGACCACGGCGTTCCTGATGACTCCTCAGACTTTCTGGAGTTTGTCAACTCTGTGAGGTCCCTGCGAGTGGATGGCGACCCTGTGTTAGTTCACTGCAGGTACTCTGGCTCTCTGGTTTTGCTTGTTTTCATACACGTACTCCAGAGGGAAAGACCTGGAGAAAGTTGGCAAAGAGCACCCTAAATCCCACGAGACCAGATGCTTTTATAAGAAGGCTGTTTATTTCTTCCCTATTTCAAAAAATTTAGAATTTTATGAAAGCATAAATCCCTGAATGTAGACCAGAAGAAGAAAGCCCCACCCTCAGCCCACACTTAAATGTGGGTTTCTTTTCATTGGTGTTGAAGCCCCTGGCCTCAGAATATATGAGGAGAGACCTTTTCAGCCTGTTCAAGAGCACGCCCTGAATGTGTGTTTTGTATTCTTGAAGGTCAGGGGAGGAAAGCTCTGAGTAAACGTGGGAACTGGCTAGGAGTTAAGCTGGGCCGTGCAGAAATACTGCCTGAGCAAATCCCAAGTCTCTGCTTCTGTCCCCCAGTGCTGGAATAGGGCGCACCGGTGTGCTGGTCACCATGGAAACAGCCATATGCCTAATTGAGAGAAACCTGCCTGTTTACCCACTGGATGTTGTCCGGAAAATGCGAGACCAGCGTGCCATGATGGTGCAGACATCAGTGAGTAGAAATCCACTGATAAAAGTAGTAACGATGGGGGCGTCTGGGTGGCTCAGTCATTAAGCGTCTGCCTTCGGCTCAGGTCATGATCCCAGGGTCCTGGGATCGAGTCCCACATCGGGCTCCCTGCTCGGCAGGAAGCCTGCTTCTCCCTCTCCCACTCCCCCCGCTTGTGTTCCGTCTCTCGTTGTGTCTCTCTCTGTCAAATAAGGAAATAAAATCTTAAAAAAAAAAAAAAGAAAAGTAGTAATGATGGCCAACACTTTCTGGGCACTTGCCCTGGGCCAGGCCTGGGAGGAGGGCTTTGCAGGTTAAGAGACCAAGGTTCAAGGGCTCTGCATCACTTGCCCAAGGTGGCAGAGGTTGTCAGAGGCTGAGCAACTCCAAAGCCCACCCCACGTGACCTCTGTCTTTCACTGCCCTTTCCCTTTGCTGCCTCCGTGGTGTGGTTCCTGCCAGCCATGCGGCCAGGGAGCAGCCCTGGTTACCTTCTACATGGTCGAGCCACTGGCCCATCATTTGTCCATCAGAAGTAAGCAAAGTCCCCTGAGGGTTTTACCCCACCTGCCTGTCTGTGGGTGAGTCTTCTGGCTCAATGGACGTTTCACACGGCCCTAGTCTCTCCTCCTTGGGCTGTCTCCCGTGTGTGTCACATCTGAGTCATTGATGCTGCAAGTGTCCTCCAGAGGAAATCTCGTGGGTTTCTCCTAGAACTTCAAGAGAGGCAGGTCAGGTGATGTAGAAGAAAGCATGATTCAGGCTACCCCACATACTGGGTGACCTTTGGATAGTCCCTTAACCTCTCTCCAAGTCTCAGTTTCCCCATCTGCAAAATGGGGACCATCCCACATTCCTTTAGGTAATTGCACACACCGGAGAGACCCAAGCTTGTATGTGGTGGGAAAACTGGATCAGTCCATTATAAATCTCAACAGTAATGGAGGAAGTCCAAGGGGAGTCTAAGAACTCAATGGAAGAGTATCAAAAGCAGACTTTGGAAAGTCAAGGAAGGCTTTCTGGAGGAGGAGATGGAGTAAACAAAGAAAGGGGTGGAGGGCACCTGGGTGGCTCAGTTGGTTGAGCAACTGCCTTCGGCTCAGGTCATGATCCTGGAGTCCCGGGATCGAGTCCCGCATCGGGCTCCCTGCTCGGCAGGGAGTCTGCTTCTCCCTCTGACCCTCTTCCCTCTCGTGATCTCTATCTCTCATTCTCTCTCTCTCAAATAAATAAATAAAATCTTAAAAAAAAAACAAAAAACAAAGAAAGGAGTGGGAATTCCATGTTGCAGCCAGCTCTGTGCCCTCACGAGCTCGTGGACAAAGTTTCTAACATTTCTCTAATGGTGGTGAGCTCTATATTATACTCAGGAAATACAATTCAGAGGAAAAGATCAGGTTATTAAGACTCTCGTTCTCTGCCCTCTTCCATGTTATGGAAGACCTCACTGCGGGTTCGCAATGTTTACAGTGCATCTTCTGGGTAGATTTTCCTAGCTGGTGAAGTGCCGTCGAAATGCTTTCCCTCACCCTGTACGCTTCACTAAATAAGGTCCTTAGGTGTTGGTTAACATAAAGAACCATGTCCTGCAGAGCAGCATTCAGTGGCCCTGCCTAAGACAAAGTCCGGACTCCTTACTGTGGCACAAGGCCCCGCCGCCTGTTCAGCCTCTCTTTCAGGGCCCAGGTGTTCCCGGCCGGGGCTCTGAGCCCTGACTGTGCCACGTGGAATGGGCTCCCTTGGCTGTGCCTTCCATTAAGCTTTGCCCATTGCTCTCCGGTAGCCGCCCCTGGCCCTCATGATGCAGGAATAACAGCCGCACGGGGCGGCAGGGGGCGGGGGGTGTCTCTGCCCTGCTGTGCGTCCCCTGCAGGAACGCAGGGTCTGGCCTGGCCCAGAGCTGGAGCTCAGAGTACTTGGGAGCGATGTGAAAGAGTGAGCATAGATGTGGTACAAGGCCTGTTTATGGAGCTGCGGGTGGACTGACAGCTTTCTTTTCTTTTCCAGAGCCAGTACAAGTTTGTATGTGAAGCAATTCTTCGTGTTTATGAAGAAGGCTTAGTCCAAATGCTGGATCCCAGTTAAGACAACTGTGAAAAACGTTCATTCCTCTTTCCCAAGGGCATCCTCCTTAAGGACAGACGCCTCTCTGGAAGCAGCAAGAGGAAATTTGTAGGCTGTGGGGAAGGAATGAGCACATTTGAAGCCAGGCACTTTAAAGTTCTATAGAAGAGGTATCGTGTACATAGGAAGTGTGTAGATACGCATGCACTTACAGCAACATTTAGGCCCGTTTGTCCTCAGAAATAAGCAAAAGGGGATCTCAGTTTGGGGCCTGTCCTATTGCCTTCCTCCCTAGACGTCACCGTGTTCCTGTAAACCATCCTTGGGCAATTGAGAGGGGAGGCCAGCAGTGCTGTGGACCTCCCAGAACAAGAGGGTGTGGCTACTTGGAGTTGCTTGGATGTTTTGTGTGTGTATGTGTATAGGACTCTAAGGGCTGAGCTTTCTGTGCTTCGAGGCAGAGCTGGAACTGTTAGCATTCACCTGCCGATGCTAAGGGATCCCTGATGAATGTAATCAGGGGTAGGGTGGTGGGATTTCAAGCTGAAGGGCGGGCGCTACCTTTGCTGCCCCATCTCCCTCCCACTTCCGATATTCGTGTTTCTGAAAATCATGTGCAAAATGCCCCGCTTGCTCCCCGCATTAATGACCCTCTTCAGGGGCTCACACAGTGCCTGGACCAGGTTAGTCACGTAGGTTCCGGCGACTTTTCAGTTGAGACTCTGAGAACGAAGACTCCCTGTGCGTCTTGTCACCCGTCATTAGGAGCAGGGTGCTTCGGGCTTCCGCTTGCCTCTTGCTGTCCCTGTAGAAGCCAAGACTGGAATTGTCGACTACTGAATCTACTACATGGATTGCTGCTACTTCAAGCTATTAAACTTGAAACACTACGATTTTCCTGAGGGGAGATGGGATATCATCTTAATATTCAGAATCTTTGGCCCTTCTGAGGAAAGATCTAGTCATGGAATCATGGGAAACCCAGCTTCTAGAGGGTTGTCCGTGGATGTGTGTGGATGTGTGTGTGTGTGTGTGTGTGTGTGTGTGTGTGTGTGTGTGTGCGCGCGCGCCCATGGTAAGTGTTTCTCAGGATTCCTAACTTGATTCAAATTACAGTTGAGTTTCTATAAAGAATGAGTCTCTGTATAGAAGAACAAATGTGTGCATTCACCCTCGGTTAGAATGGTCTCCATTTCATTTCAAAGGAGAGGATCAGGCTATCTGAATATAAACACAATTTGATGTTAATTTATTCTAAGTGCACCCTGATCTTGATTGTCCTAAAGAATTCTGCCTTTGTTCATACTGTGTTAAATTTTTTAAAAATTTGTGACAGGATTGTAGCAAATTATTATTTAAGGAAAATAAATTACATAAAAATGTGAATGTGGTATTTTTAAATAGCGGCTTTTATGTATCCTGAAGGGAGAGGAAGCTCAGCCAGTTTCTTAGCGGGATGTATAGAAAAAGGATGCTTTTATATCATAGCGCACAGAAGTGAAGCCATTTTGATGGTTAGCAAACTCTGGACCAATCGAGTCGTTTCCTGGTTGCAAGCTGGGTAACGACCTAGATGATGGGAGCCGGGTTTCTAAAGGTTCTTTATCTCCAGACTTAGCTCATTTAGTTGCACACTTCCCACCTGTCCCCCACCAGTATTTTACTGCTAAATGGCAGGGGTGGGAGGGAGGTGTCACGCCGTGCCCTAGCCCACTACTGTGAGTGAGACAGGAGACCATCGAAGCCCCATCTTTGTCGGATTCGTGCTAAGCTAGCAGAATGAACCAGGGGAGGTTGCAATTACGCAGTTGGAGATTTGGTTCCTGGTCCCACTCGTCAGAAACTATTTCTTGGCCTGGTCACTTCGGAGCACTGTGTCTCTTTTCTCTATTTCCTGTGAAACAGGAGGAATAATACTGAGGCTGTGGGTTGAATATGAGGACCGAATAAAATGCTCTCAGCGGGAGTTTTCATCAGCTGGTAGCTATTTGACACTGCTTACAGGTGCATTACTTGGAAAAGTTAACTTACCAGCCATCAGCCCAAAAACCCATGAAATAGAAGTAGAAGCTTATGGGGCGCCTGGGTGGCTCAGATGGTTAAGCATCTGCCTTTGGCTCAGGTCGTGATCCCGGGGTCCTGGGATCGAGCCCTACATCCGGCTCCTGGCTCAGCGGGGAGACTGCTACTCCCTCTGCCTCTCCCCCTGTTCGTGCTCTCTCTTTCTCTCTCTCTCTGTATCTCAAATGAATAAATAAAATCTTAAAAAAAAAAAAAAAAGTAGAAGCTTATGGATCTTTCCACAAAAGAAGATTTCTTCTGCTGAGAACAAAAGCACAAAGGAATATCCTCATACCAGGGCCTTTCTTCAATCTGGACTCAGAAGACGTTCTACCAGCTAAGTCCCAAAATAGAGGGGAAGGTGGAAAGCTGACCTCAATGTAAATGCCATCAGGATGTCTAGCAAATTATTGCTGTTTGATAAAAATACATCAGCACCCTGTGTGCAAGAAGCTTGAGAAGACTAAATGTGTTTGTTTGTTTGTTTGTTTGTTTTAAAGATTTTATTTATTTGAGAGAGAGAATGAAATAGAGAGAGAACGAGAGGGGGGAGGGTCAGAGGGAGAAGCAGACTCCCTGCTGAGCAGGGAGCCCAATGTGGGACTCGATCCCAGGACTCCAGGACCATGACATGAGCCAAAGGCAGTCGCCTAACCAACTGAGCCACCCAGGTACCCTAAAAATGTTTTTTTAATTAAGTTTTTTATTTTAATTCCAGATCGTTAACATCAAAAATGCTTTTAGATTAGTGTAGGTGCTCTTGCCTCTCTGTTGCTACCTATTTCTTTTTTGTTCCTCAGAAATTATCATTTTAGTGAAAGCAACAGGCCGCTTCACCCCTCAGAGGCAGTATCAATAGGAAATGCTCATAGGAGCTCAGATGAGGGAAAGCTTACTCGGGTCTAGACCTAGACTTGGGTGAGATGTGTCGCCCTCAGGCCTCAATTTCCTTACGTGTAAAAAGAAGTTTGGGCTGGACTAGATGAGTTCTTGGGTTCTTTCAACGTTTACCATTCTGGGAGTCAGTGTTCCAGAGAATTGAAATTAACTGCAAATCAAAGCCACATAGCTACTGGAGAGAGATGTACCACATTTCCATGACTTGTCTCCAAGAGATTGTTCCTCAAACCTTAGCAGGCTTGAATGCCGAGTCAAGGATTGCCACCCTCTCCTTCTTGCCATTCTGCGCTGAGAACAAAATCCGTAAAGACAGCAAAGACCCTGACCTCAGCCCAACTCTGAGGAGCCAAACCTGTGGGAGTCTGACGGCTGACTGTCTGCCATCTTTATAACCCACATTCTGTTGGGAGCAACAAAAAGATTGGTATTATGTAGTTTTGAAAAATATCTTAATGAGCAATATTTTTTCTGTAAATCTGGGACATTTTTCATTCTGAACTGTCAGTGACTCTACTGAAAAAGTTTAATCAATATAAAAACATTCAAGCTATGCAACACTTATTGTGTGTTGACATTTTTATTCTAATAATTGTCTTGATTTCTGAAAGGGTTTTCTCACTCTGTTTGCTTTTCTTTTTTTCTCTCTTTTTTTTAAAGTAAATATTAACTCTCTTGGAGGAGAGTGCTCTCTGCCCATCCCTTCCCTCTGGTCAGGAGCTCAAATTGTCTTGACCTGGTGTGGCAAATTCTAGATCTGAATTAGGTTCAGCTGTTATGACAACAGTAGCTTACATAAAGAAGTTTCTGTACTTTATATATCACACAGGGCTGCCAGGGTGGCTCCATAATCCCCAGGGCCCCAGATTCCTTCTGACCTGGTGCTCTGCCATCCCCAGTATGCAGCGTCAATGCTGAGGTCCATGACAGTGGCTCCAGCCAGCAGGATGGAGGAAAGGGGAAGGAGAAACCAAAACCCCTTCCCTTAGGGTGTATCGTCTGGATGTTATACATCTCATTGATCAGAACTTATTGGCAGGGCTATACCTATTGCAAGGGAATCTAGGGAAGGTTTTTATTCCAAGAAACCATGTGTCTAACAAATTCAGGAGTTCTGTTTCTGAGAAGGAAAGAATGGGTTTCAGGGACAATTAATAATCTCTGCCATAGTTCAACCCTTTGGTTCTGCCATTCCTCCTCTCTCCAAGGTAGACAACCCAGGCCCCAGCCACTTACAGCTTGACGCTAAAGCTAAGATCCCTTTTGGGTGACCTGTGGTCTTCTCCCATCAGCTCTGGGTGGCTTCTTGTCAATGACCTCTAAACTCAAGACAAGTGATCACACACACAGCCCATAAACAGCAGTGAAGTAGAAACAGGAAAACAACCATTGAAAACTCATTTGTAAGAGGGAAGAACAGGAAACACTGCTCCAAGTGGTTACCCAGGTCCACTGCACAGGAAGAACGAAGACACTTCTAGAAGGCCAGTAAGTCCCTCAGCTGCCTGACAGCCAAGTCCTGCTCTCTGGGAGGACCTCCTTGTCCGTGGACCTCCATGGCCACATCCAAGTTGGGACTGCAGTGGTGGGCAGCCTTCTGGGGAACAGAAGAGCTTTTGTAGCCTGTTGACTCCTGGAGCAGTTTGGGGGGGGTGTCCCCAGGGTTGTGGTTTCTGAATTCCAGCAAGCACCCACAGCTGGCAGTCTGACCTAGAATGACGTTCTGTGCTCTGCTCATGCCTCTTAGAGGTGGCTACCTTGAGGCCGCCAGAAAGAGAAGCTTGGGTGGGAAGGCAAGACCCTTCATCTGACCTTTGGAGCTACCTAGTTCACATTTTCTGGCGGAGAAGTCTTGAAGATGGCTTGCTGCACCCGGCCTTAGCTCCTGCTAAGGCTGTCACTTCAAGGCCACTGCCTTTAATAGCTGCAGTTTGAAGAACAACAGCAGTTGGCATTTTCTGTGCTTGAAGACCTTCATCAATTCTGAGCACAGGCTACAGACTGCCTCCCTTAGCCAAGCCAGGCTCCCTTCCATCTCTGCTACAGCCCCCCGGGCTCTAGCCCCAGCCGGTCTCACCTCTATGGGACTTTGTGAAAAGCAACTACCCTCCCACCATTTTCTCTACTATCTTGGCCTTGGTCAGCATGTGGTCCCACCTCCAAAGTACTGCAGATGACACTTTCACCAAAGTGACACCTTAGTCACTATATAAAAGGCAATGTCTGTCTTTGCCATCTGCTGGCCTGCCAATTCCACTAAGCCAATGCCACATTTTGATGTTATTTGCAGCATCCTACTTTCGAGGATCAAATTCTGAATCCAAAAACCAAAGTAAAATTGGCTGGAGCAAAATAGAAGTTTATTTCTCTCTCAGATAAACACAGGAGTCCAGAGCTGGTAAAGGGGCTGCATGGTTACCATGATCTGTGCCCCTCCAATCTGGTTGCTCCATTAACCCCAACATATACCGTCCACCTCACAGTCCAAGATGGCTGCTCCAGCGGCAGTCATCACATCCATGTCCCAGCTGGAAAGAAAAAGGAAAATGGTGGCAAAAAATGCCTTTGCCTTTAAGGATAATTCCTAAAAGTTGCACAGACTACTCTGACTTGCAAACAGTTGGCCAGAACTTAATCATATGGGTACACCTAGCTGCAAGTGAGGTTAGGGAATGAAATCTTCATTCTGGATGGCACTCTACCCAGCCGAAATTCTGAAGTTTTCTTATTGAAGAAGGGGAAATGATGGTTTGGGTAACTTAGCTGCAGATTCCTTGACTTCAGATCTACTGAAGGGCTGACTTACTCTACCCAGCCAAAATCCTGGAGTTTTCTTACTGAAGAAGGGGAAATGATGGTTTGGGTAACTTAGCTGCAGATTCCTTGACTTCAGATCTACTGAAGGGCTGACTTTCTCTACCCAGCCAAAATCCTGGAGTTTTCTTATTGAAGAAGGGGAAATGATGGTTTGGGCACCTTAGCAGCTCCCCTGCAGATTCCTTGACTTCAGATCTACTGAAGGGCTGACTTAGGAGGAGTTAACTCTGCTCAAGACTCAGCACACAGGAACCGATGCAATGATGTCATTTAAGTGAGACTGATCAACCGTCTGGAAGTAGAGCATTCCCCTGCTGACAAGGTCAGCACCCATCCGTTACATGCAAACATCATTGGAATGAGAATAGGCTGATAACACAGACTCAACCTCTTTTCTAGAAACCCCAGAGCCCCACCCATTCCCCACCCCCAAATTACACAAATCAGTCTCCCTATGGCCACCCTTGTATCCAATACTCATCAGTCCCTAAACCTCTGGATTCCTCTCATGGTCAAAGAAGGCTCCAGGATTTCTCCTGAGGCTGCCCTCTGGGACTTCCATCATCATCGTCCAAACCA